CCTCTGCAGAGCCTTCCTACCCTCAAGCAAAGGTTCAGAGATAACACTACTGAGACCCATTCCACCATCCCTCAAGCCAGCAGGCAGGAATAACTGCATCACATACTGCCCCTGGATATTTCCTTGAACAAGTCCCATGTACCGAGAGCAAAGCCCAGGGCTGGACTTGTTTGCATGCAACACCTCGAACCGCAGCTGATTGTGGCTGTAATTGTAGGTGTTAAACCCCTGAGCGAGGTGTTCGGGTCTGGCTGCAGGTGCTGAGCTGCCTCGCAGTTGTAGTTTGCATTCAAAGCTCTGCTGGAAATTATACCCTGAAGGACTGAGGGCTTTTGGGGAGGGAAACCGTGCCAAGGAGAGCTGCTGGGAAGTGTAGCGATGCTGCTCACACTCAATATCAGCTCTAGGGCACAGACAGCACCCTAAGAGAGTGAATAACCTTCCCAGAAGAAGAGCGGGTACATGAGAGCGGGTGGGGTATCTGAGGACTCTGTAAAGTGAGCAAACATGACACAAAAGCCCTTCTGAGACGTATAAATATCTCCGTGATGATGAGCTGCTGAGAGGAGGGAAAGGCAGAATTCCCAAGGCAGAAATCAACCTCCTGACAGTACCGTCTGGGGTGTCCTGTAACGTCTCTGCTAGCAGTTTCTCCAGGACATCTTGGTATTTTTCCAGCTGCCTCGGTGCGAGCCACATCCCAGCTCTGACGGGAACAGAGAGCTGTGGAGGGAGCCAAAGTCAGATGGAAAAGCTGAGGGAGGTGGGTTGGGTGATTTGACCCCACTTTGTAGAGGGTCTAGGGCTGATTTGAAGGGAAATGAATGATCTTTTTTATGAGGAAAAGCAGCGTTTTTAAGTCAGCGCAATTCTGTGCTCAGAGTGCCAAGGTTTTCACGCGTTGGGTTGTCTATGGGCTGACTCAGAAACGCAGATAAAGGAACCTCCTGGCAACAGAGGCTGCAAAGGAGAAAATAATTTCTGAACCTTATAATCCTCCACTATCTCACACCTTGACCCTGCAAGCCATCGGCTTTACTGATGCTGGTGAAGCTCCCTGCCTTAGTAAAGAGGGAGGATGAGCCACCATCCTGCCTGCAGACTGCCTGACTTTGAGCCAGCTGTGGCTCAGATGTACCCGGAGTAAATAGAGTTGTTGCAGTTCCTGGAGGCACAGGAGGGCTGGTGGTTGCAGCAGGGAGGTGTTAGGCACTGGGATGCGTCAGTCATTTAATGCTTTGAACTGCGCTTCCTTGCTGTTTCAATCCGATTATTGATTGTTGGTGCACCACGTTGGCGAGCGTAGTTGCATATTAACCTGTGTCTTGGCCGAATTCCGGTTACCCAGCCCCGCTGCCTGTCCTGCAGTTTGGGGTGGGCAGACACACGCACCCCTTTTGCTGTGAGAACGGCCCTGCTCACCGCAGGAGCGGCTGCGTGGACAAGGCAAAGACTTCCCTGTATTCAAGTGGAAAAGTACAATTTTCAGACTTGGCTAACCAGGTAAGCATGCCTTTGAGGGCTTAGCCTGGCACTTAAATCCCTAAAATTGGCAATTTTCTGCTCTGTATACAGCCTCCGGGGGGTTGCAGCTCTGTGGGCCTAAGTTTCTAAATAAGGTCCTGCCAGTGCAGAGGACTGTGAGATCGGAGGCGACACCGGGCAGCCCATCTGGAGCTGGCCGAAAAAGTGACAAATTAAACCCAGAGCTGCAAATCCCTGCCTTGCAGCTGGCTGGGGCTCACTGAATGGCAAAGAAAGCCCTTGTACTGCCATCTTCCCATACTAAGGGAGAAGCCAGGTGGGTCTGAGGCACAACCAAGCTGCTGAATGTCAAAGATAATTTATAGGGTGGAGGTAAAAACCTTTCTCTGATGCAACCTTGCTCAGTTTTCTGGTCAGGCTGGCAGGAAACGGGTGATATTCTTTTCTATTGACTGTGAGCTCCCCAGTAGCACTGTGTTCTCACACAGCACCACCAAACATCGCTGTAGCCAGACCCTGTGGGCTGTCATTTGGGCTACCTGTCCTCATGGGCTGTTCAAGTTGCACGGTTCAATGTACCTGGATGGTCTTGACCCTGTTGACATCTGCACCAGATCGCTCAGAGAAGCCGTCCTCTTCCAGCTGCTGCAGCCAGCTCAGGGATTTCTTCTGCACTCCTCTGTTCCTCTCCTTTTCCTGCAACTTCACAGACAAGAGCAGACAGGGCAGTGATGTTGGGATGCAGCACCGTGTGGGTACCAATCCTGCTCTGCACCATATCAATAGTGTGATGCCCAGCAGGCAGAAACCTGCGGTGCTGGACATGAAACCAGAAGGACTGGAGGTCTAAATTGCTTCCTGAAGCCACTGCAGCATCCTTAGTAAGGACCACTGCAGCATCCTTAGTAAGGACCACTGCAGCATCTTTCCTCAGAGCCACCGCTCACTGGGCAGGGACCCATCAGCTGCAGCCAGTGTGGCCTTGGGGACTGTAATTCTGGTGTGCAGCAGAGGCTGCGGTGTAAGGTCGGGTAACAGGATTGAGTGTAATGATCTGTAGCAAACGTGACACCAGTAGATGATGACTCTGATCTGTGCAAGGTAACAGTGTCAGCACGATGTGGTAGCCAAGTGTAGTGACCCCACCGAGCTGTTGCAGAGCCTTGGTTCTGTTCTGGAGCAGTGGCAGTGAAGTGAAATAAAAGCCTGCACAGCCTCATTGCAAATGCAGAGCTCTGTGCAGCCTTTCTGGCAGGTCTGTAATGTCAGTCTTTTCCCATTTATGAGACTAAACTTGGCTTCAGGACCCTTCTCTCTCTCCTCAGCCCAAAGAGAAAAGCCAAAGTACCTTTGAGGTATGACAGACACGACAGGAAACGCCAAAGGCAGCTCAGTGTCGAACTGCCTGCTTGCTGTGCACTTGCTTTGGTTTGGATGCGTGCTCAGAGGAGGAGAAGCAGCCTTTGGAAGACTGATTTCACCCACGTACATCTATAAGACCCTCAATTGCTACCAGACGCAGCTACAAGGGTTGCGATGTATGAACCATGGTCCCCACCATCTTCCTCAAGGAGGCTGCAGGATGACTGTACACCCCACAGAAAGCAAATGTTAAGCAGTGAGGGGGCAATACGTGCTGGAAACAAGACTTCTCCCCGGTATCAATGGGTTGTGTCGTGCGGGGGAAGCTCACTTTGGCTGTGTTTAAGGAGAAGATGCAGGCTCTGAGGCTGCCTGCCTGACACCTTTCAACGGTATTAGTTTCACATCAAAAGAGAAAAACATTCTCCTCTCTGCACGTCCCAGAGGTGACAACCATCTGGAGGATGGTTAATTATTTGTTACGACAAAAAGACCCATCAGCGTGGTGATGGGAGGCTGCAGCTTCTCTGTAAAAATTACAGCCACTAGCGTGGAGGGAAGGAAAACGAGACTTAGGAGCTGCAGATAACCCACACAGATCTTCTAGCTCTTATTTAAAAGGAGGCCAGGCTCTTCCTTTCTAGTCTCACATCTTAAAAGTTGTCTCTGCCACCTCCCATACCCCTTAATTTGGGTACAATTGAGGGATTGCCAATATCACGATATCTCCCGTTTGAACAGACGGGGCAGATGATGGCAATGGTGGTGGCAAGGTGTGCATGAAGAGCTTGGGGGATGAGAGAATAACACCTTTCTTGGTGTTTGCAGGGCTCCAGCCCCTTCATTGCGTTTGTAGGAGTTACCTGCATTTTCTGGAAGTCGCTCTGGGTGAAAAAGGGCACAAAGCCTTGGGTCTGCTCAGCCAGCATGGACACCACGTACAGCACGAGCAAAGCAGCCACCACCTTCTTTGAAACCATCCTGGGAGCCTGAATGACACAAGAAGGAAGACACCAGGGGGATAGCAGAGAGGCCCATTTGACAAGAAATCCCCTTGGCTTTTGATCAGCTGCAATCTGATTCATCCAGCAGCTAACTAGAGGTATATTTACTCTTCTAGTGGTTTCTGAGCTGAGAATTGAAGTGTCTTGACTGACAAGCCTCCTCTCAAACCTTTTTCTGTAAACAGATTTGTTCTCGAGCAATGTCTCCCGAGACTTCAAGCCCAGCCCTTCAGCAGTGTTAAAGACTCCCTCTGCTCTGCAAGCTTTAGCCCTGCAGCTGTACGGGTTTGAGATCCACACACATTCAGAGCAAAAACGCTTCCATCAATCCCACTGACAGCCGGGGAGACAGAGCGATGCTGTAAGAGAGAAAAACCCGGAGACGGACCTTTTGTTAACTTTTGTTTTCATATTCCTCGCCCTTGAAAACCTTCCTTGATGGGCTGAATCTTTTAATAAGCTTCGCTGGGTCCAGGAGAGCTGGGAAGGGCATTTGCCAGCCCGACTCCATAAAAGCTGAGTAAAAAGGGCTTTAAAAACTACCTTCTGAAGTGATTTAACAGCAACTCCACATCAGCCCGGGACTTACGTAAACATTAAATGTTCTCTTTAAATATTAAAATATTCTCTCTGGACAAATTTAATGAAGTCTGGTCCCATAGCTTAACTACTTTACCTGATCGGAGCCTGATCCTTAATTAGTTTCAGGAACCTCTTGGTCTGGACGTTATTGAAAAGACATTGTTAGGTCAAATTTGACCCCTAAATTAGATTTCCCATAAATATCAGCTAGTATTGAACGAAAGGCCAGGGGGAAGTTAATAAATATTCCCTTTCCATAGCGCTCGCCACTCGCATCCCTCGCTGTGTGCCAGGGCTGTGGCCCCCTCTCCTCTGGTGCCAGTGCCCCCCTGTGTCACCAGAGCCATCAAGTGTGACCCAGCGCCACGTGCTGCTCGCTGCAGCGATCAAGAGAGGATTTCTCAGGCTCCCCCCTTGTAATACAACGTGTTGATATGCATATATGTGCCGATAACATGCCGTTATCTCAGCAGCATCCGTCCTCTGCGCCTCTCCATTTATTCTATCGCCGCAACAAAGCACTGCCTTACACGAAGAAATAAACCCAGTCACCTCCTTCATCTCTTCCTGACTACCCCTTTGTGAATTGATTCGCTCCCTCTTCCCCCGGAGAAACACCCCCGCGCGTTACTCTCGTCAAAAACTCTCTTTTCTGAGCGTCCCTTCCTCATTTGGTAAGCAGGACGTGTCTTTCAGACCCGAGATCTCCGGCTCAATGCCTCTCCAGGCAGATATGTACTTTGTTGTTTGCGATTTTACTTCCCGGCTACAAAGAGAAAGCACAAAAAGCAGGAGGATCCCGAGTTCAGCATCGGCACAACAAAGTACTGAGGTCGCATGGGGCTGGGTGCAGCGTTGGCCAGCTCTGCTTATGCCTGCGTGAAATAGGGTGAAATGCCAATTTGGGGGCAGGAGGGGTGAGCATCGACCCGCTACTGGTGTGAGCGCGGTGACAAGATGGTACTTTTATCTACTGAGCTGTCTTCTGTAAAAAAATCAGATCGTTACAGTCAATAGGAGCTGTCTGTGACTCATTTTCTGTCTGTTCAAAGCAGCTCCCCAAGCACAGAGGGCACCCAGGGCTCCCTGTGCCTCTGCAGTGCGTATTGGGGTCTGCTGGGTGCTCACGACAAGCAGAGAGGCAGGAGCTGGTGCAATCGATGCTCCCACTGTGAGGAATGAGCAGAAAGCACCTTTTACTTTGTTTAAGCATCGATTTTGTTTCCTTCTTTCATGGCAGAGCTCTCTCCGCTGAAGCCAACCCACGCTGGCAACACCAGCACCCATGAAATGCCACCCAACCAAGCTTCCAAATGGGACTGAGCACCTACCTGGTGAGCGCAGGGATGGGATGCAGGGGCTCAGAGCTCTCCTTGCTCCTGCTCACACCTGGATGCTCCCACTGGGTTTTCCTTCCCCTTTATACCCACGCTTACGTGCGCAGGTGGCCCCACGTCCAGCAGAGCTGACGAGCGGCTGCCTGGCCTGCATGGAAACGGGTTTGAAGGCAGGAAACGTTGTTATCTGCATTGGATTTTTGAGAGTTTCACATTTCCAGGAAGATCCCCATTCCTCCCTCCCCAGGCTTTAGGCTGGCAGCAGTTCTCAGTGCATCCCAAAGCTGGACAGGGATCTCTCTGCCTCAGTTTCCCCATCTATAACATTGAGAAATTCCCCTCTCCTAACTTGTCTATTTAGCTTATGAGCCCCTCCAGGATAAAGCTTTACTGATGAATATACCAGAGCTAAAATACCACTCTTGTCTTAATTATATTTCTACTGTAATGAGGACAAATCCCAACAACAACGATGACGCCACAAAATAGGCACAACGCAGGATGAAGTTTGACCCACCAGCATTACAAAAGCATCGATTTCAGGTAATAAAGCCCCTGGCAGGATCGAGAGCTAAATATTAAAATAATAAAAAAAACATCCTGTAAACAGGATGAATTTCTATCCAGAAGGACTTTATGAACTGAGCAGACAAGTGGGGAGACATCAAGTCCACTTTGAGTCTCCACGTGGCCCCTTTTACCATCGTAACTGAGCATCTCACAGCCCTGGACTCACTGAAACCCCTCAGAACCACAAAACCCTGCACTGACATCTCTCTCCAGACAAATGAGGTGCAGAGACAGCAAGAGACTTGTGTGACATCTCATCTTCGGGCTCTCAAGACCATCAGACAGAGGGAGATGCTGGAGGGCTTAGGATCAGGCCAGCAACGTCCCAGCGCATCTCACAGACGGGCGGCTGCGCGCGAGGAAACCTGCGAGCAACCAGGCGAGATGAAAGAGGGAAAAATGAGTTTGGGAAGCAATGAAAGGCTCCTGCATCAAGTGGCTCGATGGGGCGTTACGGGCGTGCAGCAGCGTTCCTGCCTGGCTGGTTGACAGCTGAGCACCGGCTGTGTTTGCTGGAGATGAGAGGGGGGGAAGAAAGCCATTGCCCGAGCCTATAAAATGCCTCTTCTCACCATCGCAGCCGGTCGGTCGCACGTCGGTCCTGGCTTGCTGCTGTCACCGCAGTCAATAACGCTCGATTTGGGCACAACCCCTCCTTAAATCATGTGGCGGTCACTAAGATGCTTCCCAGATCCCTGCGCATTTACTGCGGCTTATCAGCAGGCTGTGAAGTGGTCCCAGCCATAAAACTTCCAGAGAGGTCAACAGTGTTTCTCTCTCGTGTGGATGAAAAGGACGTTATACAACGTATTTGGGGTTTTTTTCACCTCCCCTCCCTTTGCTCAAGAGTTTGCACAAAGCCCATTTGACACCAGCTCTCATTTTAATTGACTTTTCCACTATTTCTCGCACGGTTATGATGGATGCAGCTGACGAGTCAGCAGATGGTGTTGAGAAGTGACAAATTAATTACCAAGAAAGGTCACTTTTTCAAAGCACTAAACTTTCCCCGTGTCTCGTCCCCTCTTACCTCAGAAATGTGGCTGGCTGGCAGGTTTCCCATCCGTCTGCAATGAAGCTTTCTGCGTTGGGAAGGACAACCTTTAAAACAAAAAAGGGAGATGAAAATTAATCATATCGGTATTAGCTGAATGCTGTCTGCTGGGTTCACCTCTTAATTATGCAGAAGGACTCAAAAAAGAAAAGGAAACAGAGCTGAAAATAAGGGACCTGACTCCAAGACTTCTTCAGTGCAACAGGCTCCTTTTTGCTCTGAGTTTGCCCAGTCTATAAGAATCAGCTTTTTGTGTGTCCCCATCACCAATGCAAAATGAGAATAAATTAAATTTTAAAAATCACAGCTAGAAAGCTCACTCCTTAGCATTATAATGCAAAAAAAAACCCCTCACCCTGCTGCAGTCCCCATAACAGTTCACAACCTGCAGACCCCCAAAACCCTCCTTGTTCTGGGAAGCAAAATTGCAGCAGAGGTGAGAAGCGTAACAAAAACGTGATGTGCAAAATGGAGCTGCTTTGCAGTTCTGCTCGTACCTAGAGTTAACCGCTCGCCATAATTGGGAGTAATTTTAACAGGAAGCTGGCAGTAGCAGTGCAGTCCATTAAGCCGTGCATCAATTGCAGTGTCAAGGAATCAAGGGAAAATGAGCTCCCCGTGCCAGCGACACCGAGCATTTGTCTCCATGTCCTGTACTTTTTCCCTCCAAGTCGCTCTGCGCTCGGGGTATTTTGGCAAGCGGGTTGCATATAAAAACGGCGGAGAGGAGCCAACGCGAGACTGGAGCTGAATTTCAGCCCCAGGCTAAGGCAGCGGTGGAGAGCACAGGGGAGAGGGGGAAGGACTCGAACCCCGCACTGCCGCTGTGCCTGGCTCTTGGGCAGGAATTGGGGTGTACCCCAGTAAAGCGTCCAGTTTGGGAGTGAATATCAGAGCTGTAGCATCAGCCCCGACAGCCACCATGGGTCAAATCACCCTCTTTCTTTCCTCATATCCAACAACATCCTTGGATGGGGCTGGCACACATGAGAAGGGATTGATAGATGATAGATCATAGATGATCTCTTGAGGTCCCTTCCAATCCCTAACGTTCTGTGTTCTGAGAAGGGAGGATGTGCCCTATCAGACTGGAAAAAAATACATCCCCCAGCCCCAGTTCCCCTTCCTGACGTCCACAGGAACATCCAGTCTCACCCCTGTCTCATTAAATCATTTTCATTTGAAGTCAGATGGGGCAGAGATGCGGTGCACGCTCTGCCGAACTGAACATCTGCAGTCAACGTGGGTAAGGAGCTCATTTTGGGCTCCCCCGTTGGGGGTAGGAGCTGAAAGCTCTTCCTCACAACCCAGGCACCATCCCCAAGCTGCTGTCTCTGCGTGGCCGCCTTAGATTTAGCGGTTGCTGCTGTCTGCGCCTGCCGAACGCTCCTAATGAATAAAGCACCAGTGGCAAATTTTAATGCCGTTTTCGA